GCACTCCTCCTCCTCCCCCCTGCAGTTCCACACCTGCAAGTGCGGAGGCTTCCCCCCAAAATCAAACGAGGGGGCTGGTCTCCGAGGTGACCACCCTGGGGGACTCGAGCTTCACCCTGTAGGACAAGGGACCACCCGGATCTCTGCCGCCCCCTCCCCAGTTGCCCCTGAAGCTTCCCCGAGGGGGACTGGCGGCGGCAGCGGCGGCTTCCCCTCAGAGGCAGCCAGTGACGATGCAGCGGAGCGGGGAACTCTCTGGGGCCAGTGAGGGTCTCCTGTTCCCTACGTCTCCCCTAGACGGATTGAGAACCAGCTCAGCCCTGGGGGGGGAGCCACGGCCTCTTGGGGAGGGAGGGGGACCCTGGAGTGACTCCCTTCTTCTCCCCCCCACCCCATCTGTCCCTGCAACCGCCAACTTCCTGGCCCAGCACAAGGCCGAGTGCCGCTTCACTGATGGGACTCACGGGGAGGTCTGCTTCCTGGACAGGTACATCTAGGGCGGGAGGAGATCGCCCTCTACGACAGCCGCCAGGGATGGTATGAGGCCGTCGCCGAGCTGGGCGAGCCCTCTGCCTGCCTCTGGAACAGCTGGAAGGCCTGGATGGACTTTGTGAGGGGCGAGGTGGACGCCTTCTGCCAGGCCAACTACAAGGTCGAAGAGGGATGGAGCATCACCCTCACCAGGAAGGGTGAGCACGGACAGGGAGGGGGGGGAGAGGTGGCGGCGGGACGTCCAGCAGGAGTGGGGGGGCTTTCCGTTCTCCTCCTTCTCATCCTCCACCCCCATCCAGGGCTCTCCCCATCCACACCGGTGACACGGGGGGGGGGAGAAGTAAATGACGGACCCTCGAAGACCCCCCTTCCCCCCTCCCATTTTCTTAAACCAAAAACACAACTCATGTGTTAAAGGGGGGAAGGTGGCAAGTAGGAGGCAGTGACAAGCTTTTCATGGCACGGAGAGAGGGGGTGTTTATAATTTGCTTGGGGGGGGGAGAAGGGAACAGAACAGCTTCCCCCTTGAGTCCCTGGCTTGCCATTTATTTTTTTTAAGGGGGAGACTTCCTTGTCTCCAGGCCCTGCCTGGAGGTTGGCAACCATGTAATTTGGCATGTGTGGGGGGGGGCGCCAGAAGGTACCCTTGCGTAGGTCGCAAAAAAACCTCAGGCCGGCCCTGTGTGCAGCTCAATAATACCTCTAAAATCTGACTTCGTACCTACACTATATGTGGATGAAACCATTTGTGAGGCTGTATAATAATGGAACTAATCTGTGGAACAGATTCTGTGGCTAAGCTGTGCATCAGTGTACAGCCATTCTCTTTGGATTTCTTATACCTGGCTAAAAAAAATGCTCATTTGAGGCTGTACATTTCAGTACTGCTTTTCATCCAAGAACCAGCCCAGCAGTTGTACAGCCCTGAGATGACATCAGCCTAAAAGAGGAAATCACTTAGAAGAAAACAATATCCCAGCAGAGTGGGACTGTGAGATAAAGAACCCACAGACTTTAACAGCACCAGAGAAGAAGAAGAAACTAAATTGAGCTTCCAGTCTACAGACTATATGAACTTCCCTATGCCAGAAGAAGCTACACACAGCTCTTTGGACAAAGAGTTGTGTTCCGCTTAAAGGATAAGGGGGGGATTTGTAACGATTCCTTGTTTTAAGAGTGTGTGTGTGCCTTTAAATGCTTGGTTGAAGTGTGATGATAGCCGAGTAGAATGACTGAGAGATAAGTGTGCTGTGACTGGAGGATGAGAGTGTGTGGGAGGAGTTTTTGAGGTGGATCTGTGTGGGTGTCAGTCAGTTATGAGAGACAGTATGAAAAGCAGTTGGAATTGTTCAGTTAGGGTGTTCAGTCAGTGAGTGTTCAGAGTTCTGTGTGAGATCTCAAAGAGTGCCGTATATATCCTTAGCCTGTGTGACTAACTATGGGAAAGAGTGATCCCTGTTAACGTTGGAACTGAGTGTCAAACAAACAAAAGTAAAGGGAAAAAAGGCTGTGTGTGTGATACATGTGAACGACATATTTACAAGTCCCTTCATCCTAAACAGTTACAGAATAACCAACCTCTTATTTTGTTCCTCTTTCAATAAATCCTATTTTATTTAAATATATCCCAGAAGTCATATCAATCGTTCCTCAGGACCACATAGATCCCTGAAAAGCCTAGACCATGTGTTACCCTACCAGTAGGAGAAACAGAGAGAAGGTTTGGAAATCCTTAAATTCCTGGTGGCAGCCGAATCAACTCAGTTTAATAAAGCAAAGAGCACAGTTAAAGGGAAAACCAGTCCTTCCTAATAAGAGGATGCCACAGAGGTCTTCTGACAAAAGATGGCTGTACAATTCAGTACTGCTTTTCATCCAAGAACTGGTTCCCCAAACAACTTCCAGGAATCAAAATCCTATGCAAGTAACGGTTGACACTGAATACAAAATGTTTCTTGGGGAGGGAATTCTCAGTTGAGTTGGATCCAGGCATGATGGATGGGTGCCTGGCTGCTTCCTGTGTTCCTTCTGCAGTGATGGCAGGTGTAAGTTAGATGGGAGGAGGCTGTTCTCATCATATAGAGAAAATGTACATCTAGTGTACTGATTATTCCGCACTTCCCCTCTAAATGTGTAGCATAAAATAAAAGTTTATTTCTACGGGGAAGGCATTAACAAGAGAGGCACTGCCAACCAGGCTGCCACAACCAGCCCTTCTTAGCTGAGCCAGTTGATTTGCCCATAATGAGAACATCAGTTTCATACATTGTATAGTTCAGGCTGGTTGTCGTTCATACTGTTGTATAGCCAAGGTATTTCTGAAGACTAACTGGTTGCCAGAAAATGTTGGGTGGTGGGGCATTGGGACATCTGGGGTGGCGGGGGAGAGAGAGATCCCATCAGGAGGTAGGCAGGCAAAGAAGAGAAGGGCCTTTCCTTACCTGCCGGCCACACTTGTTTGCCTCGGCTGTTACAGGAGAAGGAGAGCCGGCCGGCCGGTGCGATTAACACTCAGAGAGTATGCGTTCTCTACATGACTGCAGTGAGGCCTGCCTGCCTCATCTGCCCACTCGCTTGGCCTGGGAGAAGGAGAGCCAGCGGGCCAGCATGGTGATACTCGGGGAATATGCACTCTGTGCTACCATAGTGGCAGGGCTTGCCCGCCTGCTACTGTAGCAGGGACTGCATACTCGCTGAGTATTAATCACACCGGCCCGCTGGCTCTCCTCCTTTCGTGGTTGAGGAGAATGAGTGTGGGCTGGCAGGTAAGGGCACAGGGAGGGGTAGCAGGAGTTGTGGGGCATGGGTCACGAGTGAGGGGGCACTGCCCCAAAATGTCCCACTGTGAATACAGGCCTGCCAACAAAATGTCACTGTATTGGCTGAAACAGTGCAGAAGGCAGCACAAGTAAACCAGTTTTTTCTTTCTGTCCTATGGCTAGGTTGTACATGGGCAACCCGCTATTGTACAGCCATCCCACAATACAGCCAATTGTGTCTATAAAATTGCCTCCTTGAGCCCTGCTTCTGCTTAGATCCCCCACTCCACATGTAAAATAATCCTTCATCAATGCCTGTCACTGCTGATCTAGGTGAAGGGAGAAAGTAACAGCTTGATGTGACCCAGGGATGCTGGATCACACCCGGCCAATGAACTAGAATGTTCCAATCACCCAAGATGTGGCAGTTCACTAGAACATAAATACAAAACAACCCTTCTGCTCCCCACCATATTGTGTTGGCCAGAGTTAAAATCTTCAGAAGTCATACATGTAAGAAAAAACTCACCCTACATAACTGTTAAACCCCAAATCAAAACCAGTGACTGACAGAAGGAGAGAATCACAACATTCAGGAAAGTAGAATTATATGTGCAATGCTGGCACCATGGAAAATCCATGTTTGGGTTAGTACCTGGTCATAATGAGATCCAGACCACTATTCTTTGGAGTGCCCAAAGGAAGCTCTGGACTTTCATTTCTCAAGCAGCTGTCACACACATCCCTTGTGCCAGTGACTGGCAAACTGTGTTTGAAATGGAGTGGGGGGAGGGGATTAGAACCAGTTTGCGATACAGCTTGGAGTCTGCAGCTGAAAGTCAAGAATCCCACTGGGCGCACACAAACCCTGGATCTCACCTAAAGTAGCTCTTTGGATCCCAGCCAGCAGCACATGCTTTTCATAGCAGACACTGAGGTAGAACAAAATCTAAATGGTGGTAGGGAGCCTACCCACTGTCCCTATTTACTATCAGTTTTTCCCAAGTGCTTCAGTGTCTTCTCTCATTGGCCCTTTGAAAGAGGTCACCCTTCTTGGTGGGTATTATAAACCCTTCCTACAACAATCAGGGTGGCTGGATTGTGTTTTCCCATTTCTCCCCCTCCTCTATGCAAAAAATGCAGTACATTCCTTTATGCAGGTTTCCATAGAGTTAAACTGTTCCTATTTTTTTTCCCTTAAAGAGGTCAGCAAAAAGTCGTACAATAGGGGTCTCATGTTCATGAACTGTGAAGGAATTTTTAAAAATTTCCCATGGTGGGGTTGGAGTGTAGCAAAAAAGAAACCTGGGAAAAAGATAAATAAAGCAGACTAGGGACTTGGGGGGTAATTTGTAAAGACATATTGCTTTCCAGATCCTGAGTTCAAACATGTTATTCCTTCTCCTCCTTTTCCTCTTCTCAGTCCACATTTCTTTTCCTCATTTTTTTAATTTAAAAAGTGATCTCTTTGCTTTAATTGCTTCAGTCCTATTGAGCTGCTCCTTTTAAACAAACAATTGTATATTTCCGTGGCATTGCCATTCTTAGCATAGCATAGGGAAGTACTTTAGGTCTAAAGGGGTTAAGAAGGCCTCCTTCCATTCAGAAACATGCAGGGGTCCCACCGTAGCTGTTCCAGCCTTTAAAAATCTTTCCAGCTTTTTTTCCCTTCCCCCTTGTAACAAATCTGTACGACTGCCACCAGGACATAAGAAGCGTGTGCCTGTCACAGAAATAGAGTTTACTTTTTCCAACTTGTTGTACAGAGGCACGGTATAAATACAGCTAACTCTGGCTTGGACTAAGAGACTTTCGCTTCAAATAAGGGGGCTACTTCCCAAGACTTTTAATCCAACACGGTTCAGACCAGACTGCACCATCGACCAAGGTGGAAAGCAAGCCTGTGGGAGTTCAGAAAAAGCAGGTGTAGCTGGTTCCTTTGTGTTTCTGTTTGTTCTTGTGTTTTTGATTTTTAATTCAGTCACAGACACACCCCAGGCCCCAATCCAAGTGCAGATATTTTTCTCTGGAGACATTCTGAGATGTCCTTTTTCATACTCTTCCCTCAGTGGATATGGATATGGATGTTGTCTGGGGAGACCTTTGTCTTATTGCTGCTGGAGGCCCCCTTCAAAGGCTCTGCCTTGCCTCCAATACGGTACTCTCATGCTGGGATATGTCCAAATGATATGAATCCCAACCTCTGGGTAGACGCACAGAGCACCTGCAAGAGAGAGTGCGACACTGACCTGGTGAGTGATGCACTTTTCTTTCCTCTTAGTGTTAAATTTGATTGCCTTTCTAAATAGATGCTGATTGCCTGTGTTGATTTTGTTTTGTTGATTATGGCAGAAGAGGGATGCACTGTAGGTGAAAGATTTGGGTGGTGTTGTTGTTATTAATGAGCCCGACATCGGCTGGCAAAGCAGGCATGCTTTTAAAATCTGCAAAAGAGCTTGGTCCTTGTAAAAGGCATTGACTCACCTGCTTTGTTGTTTGAATTGCTCTTTCATCTTGGCGGGCTATTCTCATTCGGGGCCAGTTCAGAAACAGGACAGTCACAGGAAGAAGTCAGCCCACACCAGCTCCAGCTTGTGACAGCTCACTTATAGGAAGCCACAGGCTGAACCCAGCATGGGTCAGGTTTTGACAAGCACTGCCACAGTGTGTGGATCAAGTGTCGAAAGCCAATCTGAGCTGAGTTCAGCATTGAAACATTGGGCTTCACATGACTGGTTTGCTACCAGATGGGCTTTCCCCCATGACCACCATGCAGTGTGTTTGTATGTCTTTCCTGCTCCCTTGCTTGATAAGTGCATTTCAAGAATAGCAGTCAGTCCACACACAAACATCCTGGATTGAACCCTTCTAAAACATTTTTATTGGGACCCTGATTTTGTGCAGGCTTTAAATGGGTACATTTGTTTCCCAAAGGCAGGGCTATGTAGGTATGACCCTGCTGGCATCTATTTTAAAGTCCAGCACTAGCACAAGAAATGACTCAGTAAAAATGACAGCTTGGCATGAGCCCCATGGATGTCAGTTCCAAATTTAAATGCATTTGAGCTGGTAAGCTAAAAAGGCGTCTCATCGAGCTGGCAGTACTACCAGCTCATTGTGGCATCCAAATACCTGCCTAGGCTCTTTCTGCCTCATGCAACTGCCTAGAATAAGACAGCTTGCAGTCATCGTCAAATAACACATCGTCATATTTCATACAGTAAAGGAACTGTATAGGTATACACTACTAAGATTAGCAAAAGCTTACTTGACCATTAAATGCTAAACAGGTATGGATGCAGCACAATATGTGAATGGGCCTATAACTTTTTTTTCCCCAAGTGGCTCATCAACTACTTTTGAAATACAAAGGAATCTTGGACACCATAAAGACTAACAGATCTACAGTACAATTCTATACTCTACTCATAACCTGGAATAACTGCATAGCTTTACACTACTATTGTGGCATAAGCTTTTGCGTGCCAATTAAGTGGAATGTAGTCCCTGAAAGCTTATGCCACAATAAATGTTAGTCTTTAAAGTGTCACAGGGGTTATTGTTTGTTTAGCATACCGAGAACATCAAATCCTCTGGGACTGGCCATGTATTTTAATGAGTTAAAAGCATAACAAAATTTTGGTTGCTTTTTTTCCTGGTAGAAAGTAACAGGGCATCAGTTTTCATACCGTGGAATAAACACATTCACTTCAATGGCACTCGTGCAAAAATGCATTGTGAAAACTCCTACGAAGTATGGATTTGGGAAGTTTTCTAAACCCATGAGTCACAATTCTACACCATCCATGTTTTCACGATGATTAGTTTAAAAAGACAGTTTGGGTGACATCAGTGTCACCTCACTCTACTTTCCAAAACTGCATGATCAGTAGTATCTTAGAATAGCAATGCAAAGGTCTGCTAGTTAAATCAAGTTATTTTTCTGATTTAAAGCAGCATGTTACGCTATTGTTTGCATGTGATCTCAGGTGACTGCTAGGGATAGTAACATTTTCCCAGCACACTATTGAGGAAATGTGTGATCCAACTGCTACATCCCAATATCATCTGACCAAAGCATGAGAATCCTACAGTGCACTTCTCAAATCATGAAGTGTAGCTGTTAGAGGCAGGAGAATGCTTTATCCTGGCCCTGACCTCCACTAGCTACACCACAAAAAACAATTCTTTCTCAGGCTTTTCTTATAATAGTCCACTGGCCCAAAATGAAACCCTAGGAACCCTGCTATTTTAAAGAGGTAACATTTCAGTATTCTAGCAAACAGGATGCCATGCAAGTTCAAGCTTAGTTAGATGGTTCAGAAACCAGCTGAGATTATACCACTTTGGGGCACAGGCCAGCATGAAAATAGGCATGCATTGGCAAAGAAGTCAAAAGGACATAAGGATTGAAATGCATATTTAAGCCCCACTGAATTCAGTGGGACTTAACTGTGCCTTTCGCTGGTTTAAGTCTTTTTATCAAATGGGGTAATGGAAACTGGTAGCGATCATGCCTAATAAAGCCCTCGGTTTGACGTTTGGAAAAGCTTGTGCCACTGCAGACAACATCATGACTAGCCATGAACCAGGTCAGGCTTGCTTGTAGTCTAGCCTAAGGTTAGCCACAGTCTCCAATATAGTTGTATTTCTAATGTTAGCTGATGAATAATATATTGGGATTGCTTGGATGTTACACGTTCTTTCTGAACCTATGGGTTCAGACCAGGCTTGGATGTTTATATTGGAGTTTTGGACTTGAGACAAATCTTTTAAACTCTCCCTGTATTTTTTTGTTTGGGGGACTCCCACTGGGCTTTACGTAAGCAGGCAGTGTTCCATGAAAGGTCCACAATTCCTTATTTGAAATGGGATTTCTCCCATCCAGTTGTAGACCCCATGTGGCACATCCCACACTGTTCCAGAGAGTCCCCCTTTCCTCATCAACCCCTTCAAAGAGCGAGGAGAGAAAGCCCCGTTCCACAAAAAAAACTCTTCCTAGGCTCTCTGGATCCCATCTTATAGAGTGTTAATTGTTCCTGAAAAGTCGTTCTGCTAAAGCCATATGACTCAACAGGCAGATTAATAATAAATAATAAGAATAAAATCTTCTCTGCATAGCACCTTGCTCCTTCTCAGCACTCACCTGGTATTCTTGTCACAGTTCACATCCAAAGATTTGGTCTGAGCAGCTGAGAACTCTTTCCAAAGGCACAAACGGATTTGATACCAGCACTCCTGGCTAGTAACTTCAGTTACTTGCTCCATTCACATACCTAGTCCAGCATTTTGCCTGCCAACATAACATGAATGCACATGAAGTTGCCTTATGGTGAATCAGAACCTTGGTCCATCAAGGTCAATATTTTCCATTCAGACTGGCAGTGGCTCTCCAGAGTCTTAGGTAGTGGTTTTCCCCATCACATACCCAGAAGAGATCCAATATTTTTAAGCTTTACTATTACTAACTACAATTTAGAACTAAGGCCAAACTAACACGCATTTGAAAGTATGGGCTCAGCCACTTCTTCTGAAGAAAGTGCCCTACCTGTTAGAAGTTACTTTCAGGTAACATATTTTCCATTTTCCTCTGCTGAGACAGTATGCTCCACACTTTTTAGAATAACCCAGACCTAACCCAAATTATATAAAGTGGTCAGCTTCAGCATTTTGGTGACCTCCGTTCTCCAAATGCTAGTGTGGGAACTGTGAAATTAGACCTTCTCACAGACAATCAGTATATATAATAAAATTTGTGTCATCTGTCATTTGTAGAGAACTTGGACTTTAAGGGTATATACATTTCTTAAAGATCCCCTCAACACACAGATTGGCAGTGGTCATTTAGCTTTTCCAGAATTCCCAAGATAGCAATACAACAAAACATATTTGAAATGTACCACAGACCTTTACTTATCTATAACAATGTTCTCATCATTGCCTTTTTTTTTTTCTTGTCTTAGGAATGTGAGACCTTTGAGAAGTGCTGTCCTAATGTCTGTGGAACAAGGAGCTGTGTCGCAGCTAGGTACATGGATGTCAGGGGGAAGAAAGGACCTGTGGGGATGCCCAAAGAGGCAACCTGTGACCGTTTCATGTGTATCCAGCAAGGTTCAGAGTGTGATATCTGGGATGGGCAGCCTGTTTGCAAATGCAAAGATAGGTGTGAAAAAGAGCCAAGTTTTACTTGCGCATCTGATGGGCTTACCTATTACAACAAGTGTTATATGGATGCGGAAGCATGTACCAAAGGCATCACACTCAATGTGGTAACTTGTCGTTATCATCTTACCTGGCCAAATACCAGCCCTATCCCACCAGAGACTACCGCTCGCCCCACTACTGCCTATGCAGAGACAACCATCACTGACATACTTCCACCCATACTAGTCAACAACCCAGTACATCAGTCCGTCTACATAGGAGAGACGGTTAGCTTTCTTTGCGATGTCACCGGCCGACCTAAGCCCGAGATCACTTGGGAGAAGCAGACGGACAACAGTGAGAAAATTGTCATGAGACCCAATCACGTTCGAGGAAACATTGTTGTCACCAATATTGCTCAGCTGGTGATCTATAACACACAATTACAAGATGCAGGCATCTACACTTGCAGTGCTAAAAACATTGGTGGTGTTGTCTGGGCAGATTTCCCCTTGTCAGTCCTTAAAGGAGAAGCTACCTCTATTGAAGCCTCACAGAACAAAACCCACTTTCCAACTGATGAGTGTCTGAAGCAGCCTGACAGTGAAGACTGTGGGGAAGAGCAGACCCGCTGGTACTATGATGCGAAGAAAAACAACTGCTTTACTTTCATCTATGGAAACTGCAACAGCAATCTGAACCACTTTGAGACCTATGAAAGCTGCATGTTGACTTGCATGAACGGGCCCATCAACATCTGCAATTTGCCAGCCCTCCAAGGTCACTGTAAAGCCTATGAGCCCCGGTGGGCATACAACAGCTTGACAAAACAATGCCAGTCCTTCATTTATGGAGGCTGTGGTGGCAATGAGAATAACTTTGAGAGCAGAGAAGCCTGTGAAGAAATGTGCCCTTTCCCCAGGAATATGCATTGCAAGGCATGCAAGGCTTGCAAGCCCCGGCAAAAGCTGGTGACCAGTTTCTGCAAGAGCGATTTTGTTATCCTGGGCCACATAATGGAGTTGACGGAGGACCAAGACTCCGGACATGCGCTGGTGACTGTGGAAGAGATTCTGAAGGATGAGAAAATGGGTCTTAGGTTCTTGGGGAAGGAGCCTCTAGAAATTACTCTTTTAAATATGAACTGGAGCTGTCCGTGCCCCAACATCACCACAGCTGATGGTCAGCTCATCATAATGGGTGACGTCCACAATGGAATGGCTGTTTTACAGCCAGACAGCTTTGTGGGGGCCTCTAGCATCCGTCGTGTTCGGAAGCTACGCGAGGTCATTCACAAAAAAACCTGTGAGCTACTAAAAGAGTTCCCCCCTGCTCTTTAACCTATATCTAAATAACATCATCCTGATACTATCTGGCTCCGAGTTTGTCTCTCCTTCTTTAGGCTCTCAGAAAATATCAGTCCTCTTATACGCTGATGATATGGTTCTGGTCTCCCTTGCACGCATAGCCCTTAGAAGGTTGCTACACAAATTAGGTGATTTCTGTAAAGAAGAGGCCTTAAACATGAATTATGCCAAGACCAAAAAAGGCCTTGTAAGTTTAAGTGGACCATAGATGGAATCCCTGTAGATCAATGCAGCACCTTCAAATATCTAGGGGTAACCTTCAGCAAAACCTTATCCTGGAGTGCTCACTTGTCAATAACCAGATCTACAGTTTTAAGATCAACAGGTGCTATTCTGAAATTTTATTACACAAAAGGAGGTTTTCTAATAGATCCAGCTTTGAAACTATATCAAAGCAAGGCTGTCTCTCATCGTCTATATGGTGTAGAGGTTTGGAGTTGGGAAGATTGTCTGATCGCAAAATTGGAATCTATCCAAAATCTTATTTAAGGAGAATTCTAGCTCTACCTAGAGGTACCCTTGCAGCTTTAATGCGAGCAGAACTTGGTTTGCCCTCAATTAGGGCCTGTGTACATGTAGCCTTGATAAGATATTGGAGAAAGCAAAGCAGTGACACCACCAATTTACCTCACAGTCAATGTTATGAAATGATGTTGCAGAATGATGCTGCCCAGGTAGCCTGCTATAATAACATCCTCCACTGCTACACCATATTGGATGACACCCAGTGTGTCCCCATAGCTGGTTCCAATATTTGTGACTCGGTGTTTAAATGTGATGCTGCAATAGACAGGTAGTCAGTTTCCCAGTCCAAATTCTCCCAATGGTTCAAACTGATTAAAAGGGACCATGTTAGAGCCTTCTACTTGGTTAATATCTCCCCCCATAACCTCAGAATAGCCTTTACTTCAATCCGGTTCCAAACCATGCCAATGGCTTTGCTAGCTGGACATTACTCCCAAATACTGCTGGCTTCATGTCTTTGCATTTGCAGAGCTTCAGTTCCAGAGGACCTATTGCACTACATTTTATCCTGTCCTCTCTATACAGAACCCAGAACCAAATTTCCCACAGCACTTTTAATGGGCTTAAATTTTTCTTCAGACTCAAAGAAGCTGCTTTTTCTTCTCTCAGATGCTGATCCATTTGTCTCCTATAGAGTGTCACTATTTGCTTTAGCAGGCAAGAAAATATGGGCTAGAGCTGCATCTAAAGAGGGCGATGTTTTTATTTGATTAGTACTTTCTGGTTAGATTGTTTTAATGCTTGGTTAGATTGTTTTAATTGCTGATATTTGTAAATATGTTATGTGTCTCAGATTGTAACAGCCTTTGGCCATAGACAATAAACGTTATCATATCTTACTAAAAGACTTCCTAGGACTGCACTAATACCTTGGTTTTTATCTTGTTAGCTTTCCAGATATGTGTATCATATAGCGCTAACAAAAGGTAGGCTAGCGTGAAACCTTTTTTAAAAAAACCTCTGTTTGCTAATAGATATTATGTATAACACACAAGGGGCTGCAGTGGCTCAGAGGTTAAGACGCTGAGCTGCGGACCGAAAGGTCTGTAGTTTGGCTGTTCAAGACCCTAGTGCCATGTGACAGAGTGAGCTCCTGTCTCTGGCCCCAGCTTCTGCCAACTTAGCAGTTTGAAAGCAAGAAATTGCAAGTAGATAAATACATACCACTTCAGTGGGAAGGTAACAGCATTCCATGCACCTCGGCATTTAGTCATGCCAGCCACATGACCACGGAAAAGTCTTCAGACAGTGCTGGCTCTTCAGCTTGGAGACTGAGATGAGCACCACCTCCTAGAGTTGGATTTGACTGGCTTTTGAGCCAGGGAAACTTTTACCTTTATTACACACAAGCCATATATTAATTCATTTATTATGTGTAGTAATGAGGCAGTGTCCTTTTTTTGGCAAGCACTTAAAGCAGCAAACAGCTATTAGTCGGGACAGGGTAAAAGCCGGAACGGGCCGGAACGGCCCGGAACGGGCATTAAACACACAATAGTACCGCAAAAAACAGTAGCATCCATTACAGGCCCTCAAGAACAATATTCTAGAAGTGGAAAACCAGAACTCTCACTCTTTTATTAACCCTTTCTGGGCCAAAATGCCTCCGGAACGGCCCGGAACGGCCCGGAACGGGCACTAAACACACAATAGTAACGCAAAAAACAGTGGCATGCATTACAGGCCCTCCAGAACAGTATTCTAGAAGTGGAATACCAGAACTCTCACTCTTTTATTAACCCTTTCTAGGCCAAAATGCCTCCACAACACCCCGGAACAGCCCGGAACGGGCATTAAACACACAGTAGTACTGCAAAAAACAGTGGCATGCATTACAGGCCCTCAAGAACAATATTCTAGAAGTGGAA